AGGTGTTGAGTATGGTGCTCGATGTTCTAACAGCCCTCTGTAGGATTGGACCGATTAGATGTTGGGCTTTGGACTTCTGGGTCGGGGTTGGTTTGCATCAACGGCGAGCTGCGCGACGGTCACAGTTGGGAAGGTTTTTTAGGTTGATTGAATTTCTCGGGGGATATGGTTATTGTGTACTTTACACACGTATTGCAGAAAGAATGATCAATGGCACATCCTAATCAATTGGACGCTTGAAGGCAGTTCCATAAGAGCAACAGGAGTCATAGGCATCTAATTACTAAAAGGCCATTAGCAAGATCAGAATTAATCCGGCAATTGTTGCAACTTCCACGTTTGTTTCTCTCTTCAATCAATAACATTTCCATTAATGGAGTCGGAACAGCCGGAGTGGATTGTGCATCGTTCATAATTCTGTTACGATTGTATGCAAATTCTCGTTAATGATGATCTGGTAAATACAGAGGAACTGTAACTTAGGTCAAGGATGCATTAGGCTAAGTTGGTTTTGTAACTGAGGAAGCACTTATTTCGTTTGTTGTATCGCTGAAGCAGCGTATGTGCAGCTTGAATCAATAAGGAAAAGAGAGGGTACACCGATGCTTGGTTTGGCTATGTATTCAACACAGAAACGTCTTTAATTTCGAGCTTACTGATTTTAGTCTGCAGGAAGATTAATGCGAGTCAAATGCTCTGATCCAAAACTGATCGCTTGGTTTACCTTGCACAGCAATCGTGAGACAATCACTAGAGCCCTCTTGCTAGTACAAATCCACCCAAAAGCCGATTATTTGACGTCCATCCAGAGGTTAGCGACACTTTAGTGCAAGAGCACTTTGCTAAATTGATGTCCTGCTTACAGCATTTAGGCAGATGCATATCGGGGTACATGGCTGAGTTATCAATGGGAAGCTCACTGTGGGCGAAAAGAGAACCTCATATCTAAATGCATCTCGGTGCTTTCCTAATGAGAAAACAGCCCATAACCGGCTCCATCTCAGCTACTCCGAGCTGTAAGCCCGATCCGCCATAGATGATAGAAATCTGGCCAAAATGGACATTGAATCTCGCAGCCTTTATATCCTTTGGAGCAATCATTGCTCCCTTTTACCTTTCATAAATTCATATTTCAAGCACAACGGTACTATTTCCGTTTGACAGTACAATATTCAGCTATGAAGAGCCGATGGTACCCGGACGCAAGATACTCTCGGAGTAATAACTCCGTGGTGGCGTACATTGGGCTGCTCTGTAACCAGTAAACAATTCATCTTGACGCGCACTAATTCCGAAGCAAAGTTACGCCGTGAAAATGTAGAACGTGAGCCTGTAAGCTTCTACATGTATGGTCGGTTTGGTTGACTATAATGTTTAGTGTATTGTTTCTTCTCTCCTTCCCTTTTACTTATTTCTTCCTGTGTTGTCCATTTCGATATAAACGGGTGGTAGGGTGCATAGGACGGAGCTTTCAAAGAGGGAGATAATAATTTGCTACCGGTTTTCAGAATAGATGTCGGCGCACTAACCGCTAGACCAAACACGATATATCGCGTCTAATCAGGCTAGTGACGGAGAGATTACTGTCCCAACAATAGACAAACTGATTTTGCTTATAGCAAGAGGAAATTGAGCTCTATGCTGTACTGAAAGGGAATACAAGGGTCACCTGGAGCTTAGAGCACGGTATGCTGCAATATGACTAACGCGGAACCCAAAACTGGCGAATGTGAACTTGACTATAGCCGGATGCCTGGCTTCCAGGTATTCAAGAAGCAGCAGCAGAGCACGCTTAGTTATTACTTGTGATGTGTCGGTCCAGACGGTCTATTGATAAAGAAAGCGAGCATCCAAATCTACGACCGGAGAAACTCAAGCATGACACTTTGAAATCGGACCAGCCAGTATGTCAGTCCGCTGAAACTCACGGCTTTCTGGAAGTTTGGCAACCCTAGTAATGTCTCTGTGAAATCCACTACTTGCAATCAAGCGCCATCAGAAAGGAATATCTTGCGCATAAGTCGGTTTTGTCATGTGTTTGATCACAGACAAAGGTGCAGCTCGCTGAATTCTCATTCTCCGTTTTTGCTTCTAATTTTATCCCATATTTCTTATGATGTAGATATAAAGCCCGTGAGACCTGTCCCGGAAACATAACCGCCCTATTCTTCTCGGTCACTCTTCAGCCTACCGTGTCGCTTGTCTATTCAGCCTTCGCACAATGGATGCCTTTGATCTTTCCGTTGCTCCCCCGGAATTCGCGTCCTGGGCCACAACACTCTATGCCTGCAATATATACACAAATTTCATATGGCTGTACGTGTATTACGGCATGATCTACCGATCCTACAAGGACAAGTCCTTTGCCATGCCACTCATCTCCCAGTGTCTCAACATTGCGTGGGAAATCGTTTTCGGCTTCTTGTTCTCCCAGGACCACTGGTTTATAACTCTTTCCTTCCAAGCCGCAGTCATATCCAACTGTGGCGTGATCTACGCAGCAATCAAATATGGCGCCCGAGAGTGGGACAGATCTCCTATGATACAACGCAACCTGCCCTGGATTTACATAGGTGGAACGCTATTTGCAATTGTAGGCCATATCTCTCTTACCAAAGAGCTCGGCATGGTGAGGGCTTGCTTTCAAGGCGCAATCGTATGTCAGGCTACCCTAAGTGTGGGATATGTCAGTCAGATTTTGGTGAGGGGGTCTACGCGTGGTTTCTCTCTTGATTTATGGTTCGTTTGCCTAATACCCGGTGGTCATGGACGTGATTTAGTAGGGGGCTAAAACTTGCTGTCCTTAGGTTCTTCCGATTTACGGGCTCTCTTGTAATGGTCCCGGAATTTTACATTCGTGTTAAGTACTGGCCGGACGCTTTCAGCTGGTTGGGTGAGCCTTTCATGCTCTGGTGCTGCTTCATTTATCTGGGCTTTGATCTGGCATACCCGGTGCTTTTCTGGTATATTCAGAGGCGTGAGAAGGAGGAGGCGTTGGCGAAAAGTATCAAGAGTCTGTAAAAAGTGCTGTGTCACCCATAGGTTGGGGGGAGGGTGGTGGAGGAGGGAGCTATAATCTAACAACTAGCACAAGCTCTGGGATGACCTTGAAGGAGGTCGCATTTTAGCCAATCCTTTTAGAGGAGATGTATGAGAGACCAGTGGGTTGGTGGGGGGGGTGAGCTGGTAAATCTTTTCTTCTGTTTTCTTTTCCATTAAGTCATTTGTCCAGTCTTGAATTTCATTGCTAATTAGCTGCCATAACTCACTTTGCTGCCTACAAACTGTAACAGATCGTACTAATTTATCCGCAATAACTGGCGGATATAACAAGAACTTTGACTGATACATATGAGTCTATGCAAGTCCTGGTAAATTATGGTAGATATATAATTCGAGACCTCGCATTACTATTTCAAACTAGGAGCAAGGATAGATCGACCACTTCCACTCCGTAGGTGTTTTAGTTGTGGGTTGTTAGATAAGTAGAGGGGGGGGGGGAAGTCTCTCTAGACAACTAATCGGTCCTGGGGCTATGTGGGTAGATACCGACTCGACCAGACTACTTGAAGGTGAGTGTTGTCCAGCCTCGGCCCACAAGGCTGTGTGCTGTGGATGTACGTATTAGTTGTCAGTGGGGGCCAAAGACAGACAGGAATCGACCAGACTAGACTAGACTAGACCAGTCGGACCCTTAACACCCAAGTACCCAATAATGTAGGGTATTACACAACGGAAGTCATCCATCTCCGAAAATGTGCCAACTAATCATTGATCTCAGGTCAGGTGCCAATATTCACTCACAATAATGTCAGTGACTGACTGACTGACTACTGCCCGGTCATCCTTGATGCCTGCTGAGCGGGTGTCTACTTTAGACTTTACGGGTCAGGAGATAGTAACTAACCTACTTAGTAGATAGATAGAGAATCTCCACTCAAAGAACTTGTGGCCGTTAGGGTTCCATGGGTACGCCAACGGTTAGACCCGTAGGTATTTCCCTGGGTGAGTAAAGTAGATAGTGAGCGGAATTCTCCGTATCGAGTGGAAATTAATTAGATATTAAACAAGGTAAGTATATCTATCGATAGTAAAGCAGGGGAACCTGAAGTTGGTGCAGGATGGTGGAGAGATTGATGACTGGCGTGGGTGGCGCTTTAGACGCCCAACCTCTCTTTCTCTCTCATTCACTCGCTCGCACAATGGAAGATGCCGTCTTTTGGACGGACTGCTACTAGAAGATACCATCAGCATCCATCCACTAACATACTTAAATGGTTCTGATGGGGTAGACCAATCTCACTCTTTACTTCCCATAGCTAGACCACCTACCTACACAATACATACTACAGTTTCAACACAGTTTCAATAGCCGCCCACCGCCATGTCAATTGTTCTATAAACAGAATGTTTAATTCGACTCCATAGTAGTAGCTTCAGCGCTTCTGCATGAAGAGGGAGGGGGGTCGAGCTTCGCGTAAATTCGAGGACTCTCTGCCTATGATCGAAGACACCAGTGGGAAGTACCTGAATTTCTTAATTGTCGCCACCCGCAGCTGATCCCCAAGGCGGCCCAATCTTTGCCAATCCCCCACTTCAGCTGAGCGAAGCGCCCGCGTTTACGAGGCACGAGGGGCCGGTTTTTTCTTGTTTTCGCTCTTATTATTTGACCACTTCTTTTTCTTCTTCTCTTCTCTTCTCTTCCTTTTTTCTCTTTGTCCATTTCTCACCTACTTCTTTACTTTCACTCTGACTTTCATCGTTGAATTGTCCTGAATTTCAGCAGCATCAGCATCTTGTTCTGCTCGAGATCAGGGTTGCCAGCCTCCGCCACACCACGGCTGATTTGCTGCCCCCTTATCGACGTCACACCCCACCAGCCTATTCATCTGACCTCTACTACTATACTATCCACGCACACACCAAATTGCTCATAATCAAAGAAGAGGGAGGCGGGATATAGGCGGAGCAGATACAAAACACAAGAAAAAATCACCATCATGTATTCCTCCTATCCTAGAGGACGTCACCTCCTCACCGATTCGGAGTCTGACTTCTCCGAATCGGACTACTCCATGGTAGAGACGACTCCACGCCGGAAAGTCACTACTCGTCGACGCTCCATCTCCCGCCACCGCTGGAGCCCCGAACACATCCATAGTAACACCTACCTCAGCCCCGTGATCCATGACCACCATGCGCCTCAACGCTCCGCCTCCACGGGCGCCCGTCGTCGCCCCGATCGTGAGCGCGAGCGTGAACGCAACAACAACCAGCCCGTCGCCGTCATCGTCGACGTCCACAACAAGTATGACGCCAAAGCCGACGCCAAGACAGATGCAAAGAGCGATGCCAAGAATGACGCTCGGAACAAGAGTGCCACCAAGAACCGGAAACAGGAACACAAGATGCAGCAGAACTACATCGATCCCTACGAGTCGGAGGATGAGACCAGGTTGCGGGATCATCGCCGAGCTCGCACTCGCCCGAGTAGTATCTCCCGGGAGGCATCACCGCTCCCACCTACGAGGGACTATGAGCTGATGCTCGATACGCGGTTCCTTGAGAGGAATGACGCCCGTCAGGACCTGGAGCTCCTGCGTCATCAGCAGGAGATCGCCCGTCTAGAGCGGGAGCTGGCTCGTCATCGTGAAACCTCCCAGCATCGTCAACAGCAGCAGCTGCAGCCGCAGCAGCCTCCGCCGCCTCCGCCGGCGCCGGAGCATGAGCATCGCTCACCTCCTCCTCAACATCATCACCATGAGCTCCGGCTGCTGAGGGAGGAGGATCTGTACGAGGACGAGATCAGTGAGCGGCTGCGACGGCTGGAACGGTACGAGAAGAAGCAGCGCATGGAAGAAGAGCAGCGTGAGGCAGAGCATCGCTACCAACTCATCAAATTCGAAGAGGCCCAGCGTAAGGCTGCGGAGCAGGAGGAGCTCAGCCAGAAGATGCGTCAACGGCAGCTGGAAGAGATCCAGCGCAAGATGGAAGAGGAGGAGGAGAAGGAACGCATCAGGAAAGAGCTTCGTGATGAAGAGGCCAGGCGAATTCTGGCTGAGCAGGAGCGCGCCCGCAAAGAAGCCGCGATGAAGCAGGCCGCTATCGAGGAGTGGAAGCTCAACGAGGAGCGGAGAATGATTGCCGAACGGGAAGAAAGAAAGAGACGTGATGCTGAATTCAAGGAGAGACTACGACTCGAGTTCGGCTACGACGAAGAGCAGCTGGAGAAGATTATCAAGAAGGAGAAGGAACCCGAGAAGCCCAAGGAACCTGAAAAGCCCAAGGAGGAGCCTGAGAAGCCAAAGGAACCTGAAAAGGAGAAGGAGAAGGAGAAGGAGAAGGAACCTGAGCCCCAACGGACTACCTGGATCAAGGTATGCAATCATCCTACCTTAAGACTATAGATGTGATTCATCTAACTCACTGGCGCAGGTCCACCGCAAACATCTTCTCCCCGACACACTTATTGCCTACCGTCTACCCTGGGACTGGGACGAGGTAAGTTGGAACCCTAAACACTCTAGGTACCGTCGACGATAACTGACGGTTGACAGCTCGACGGCAACTACATCATCATCAAGCAGTGGATCTCCGAGGACTTCCAGGAGGAGCTATTCGCCCACTCGCGGCGTCTGCGTGAGGGCAAGCTTGTTGCTCAGCACTCGAGCACCCTGACCGAGCTGAAGGTGAACGACCGAAAGAAGGACAAAATGTACCTGGTCCGCAAGAAGAACCCCGGCTCACGTGCCTGGATCTTCACTTGATCTCGCAGTTTTTTGACGCGCTACGAAGTGTGATACCATGATTTGATTAGTCTGATTTGGTTCTTGTGTTCTTTTGCCTCGTCTGTCAATATTTTGTTCTCTTCTTGTTCATTTTCACAGCTATCCTATACAAGATGTTGGCATAATGAATTGTCGAGTCATGATGTTTTGATTTTTCGTTCCATGAGTTGGGATTTGAACAGTTGCTATATATATGATACAATGATGATGATGATGATGATGATGATGATGATGATGACCAAACGTCGACCCATGCAGTCCGTATCCGAGGCCCTTTTATACCCATAACGATAACAAACTCCGGCCCTAACTAACCCCTTCCCTTCTAAGGAATCTAAAACAGAGAACCTTACTATAATCTACAGACAGCCTATTCTCCCTTTGATCCCCACTGGACTTCGGCCCTCAGAATCAACTCCTCGTAGACCGTCCACGCAAGCGCAGAACTAAGCGCTTTCCTCGTAATCCGCAGCCCCAACCCGCCAAATAGACTTCTTACTCCATCCTCTTGCACCATCAACCTCACAGCCCGCATCATGTTCCCATACCGCCCCGGCATCAGCTGCAACCGGGTCTTGACCGCATCGAACGGGTTTGTAATGGTAGTGGCCAGCCCGGCCGCCAATCCCCCAGAGACGAAATTGATTGATGACGACTTCAGTGGCTGCTGATCAGACGAAGAACCTGATAAGCCCGCCAGTCGCCGTTTCAACTGCTCGTAAAACAAAACATATAGTCCTGCATACGGCGCATCACGCGCCGCTGTAGCTCCAAATCCGGAAAACAGGCCCCGGAATCCCTCTGTCCGGACTATATCTCGCCCCGCGCTGAAGAGACTCCGATAGGCGTAGTAGTCTGATTCGTAACGAACTTTTAGCACGGTCACTGGCATCATGACGAAGCCAGCAGCAACCCGGGCGGCCGCCCCGGTAGCTAGATTGGCGGTGTTGGACAGTTTGGGCAGTGCGGAGGAGCTATTGGTGACGGGAGCAATGCCATTCGATTGAGCGAGACCCGTGCGAAGGGCGTTGAGGCTCGTAAAATACAGTGCCGAGCCGAAACCTGTGCGAAGGGCGGAAGGGAGTGTACCACGCCATAGATTGCGGATTGGATTCGGAGAGGAGAGGATGGCCTTGAGGGTTGGAAGGAGGGAGGCGTTTTGAGATTGTTGTACACGGGTTTTGAGGAGATCAGCGGGTTGGAGAAGGATGGAAGAGGTAAGGCCCGAGAAGAGCCCTGCGGTGAAGTGGAAGGTCGTCTTGGAGGCTGTTCGATTGATCGTTCGTTAGGGTTTACTCAATGGAGAAAATAGTAGATGAGTGGCCATACAGGTTGAGGTGGTTTTCACCTGCGGTACAGCATAGACCGCATTGTTCGACATGGCTTCGGATCCCGCAGCCAGTGCTAAGAATGTGTATAGATAGAGGAGTGATTTAAAAGGGCACGCGTGATGAGATCAACTCATCCGGGGCACTGCACGACAATGGCTGGAGAAGAATTTGAGATTGAGACAGACCGCTTGAAGCGGTGACGGTCACATTGATGGTAATCAGGATAGCATGGCAAAAGCGAAGAGGCGTGAATTCAGGTTTTGCAAGGATGATAGGTGATAAGAATGACTTTTCAGCGAGTGTAAGAAAGAGAAAGGGGAAAAATGTGACAGACGGTGTAGATACGAAGCGGTAGACTCGTTCCTACCCAAGCGGAGGGCCGTTGGTGAAGTCATCTGGCGCCGGGCGGAAAGCATCTCGATTGGCTGCAGATCACCAGCCACAGTTGCCGCGGCCGTCGCCGCCTCTCAACTTTTCCGATATCTCCGGCGTAAGGACCTGCCAAAAGTGGCACACCAACAGGTACAGGTTCAGGTTAAGGTTAACGTACCTGTGCAGTGACTGACAGGCACTACTAAAGAACTACCGGGATACATGCTGTGTCTAGTACTTCATAATATCATACCCAACAACCAGGCCTATCGCTGCTCACTCCTTACCATTTACCAATACTACTACGTTCAGTACTACGAAGTACTAGCAGTAGTCACAGGGCTGATCATGTCGAAATACGGAAATTTTCAGCAGGAAAATACTTGGTAGGCTGCATTTGGGCAACGTTAGATAATCCAATCCACGAGCTTTCTCCGAGCAGGTGCCGTCTTAGCACTTTTACAATGTGAGACATAGGGAGGCACTTAGTACGGCCAATGCATGCAGAAGTATGCAGGTTGTTAAAACACCATTCCATTCATTCCACTTGGCCACGCTCACGGCGGATGTACTTACTTTGTAATCTTACCGCCCATTGTTCCCGGCGGCAAACCGCTCAGGCCCATCGAACCAATAGGGACCCCGTAAATGGCGGGTGACATACCTTCCTCCGTACTTAACCGTCACATTCACGCCGGTTCGGTTGGATGTTAGGTGACTGGGCTGCAGATCGGGCGTATTAGTCGACGTCACGGTTCATGGGGAGCCGGTAAGGCAGAGTAACTGGTAAGTTCGATGGCCACCCTCACTTGTCAAACTTAACTGCCCTGCCTTTTCCTTTCCTCTCTTTCGGGGAATCTGGCCTTTCTTCAAGAGTTACCCCTGCTATGCCCTCCTGCTCGTAACTCCCGTCGTTCCATTGTGGTCCGCCAGAGACGTCACCAATCCCTCCACCCTGCGGAGAGCTGAGCTGAGTCTCCGTCACCCATCATGCCTCTCTCATCCTTCCTTCCCCATGTTCCATATCCACCCTCCAGGGAAGGATATTGGAGTCCCGTCACATCTACGCTGAATTGGTGCGAGGAGGTATGCGCGCTCAGTTTTACTTCATCCTTTGGTCACACTTTTACTATTACAATAGGTTGCTAACCATCATGCGAACGAGATAGGATTACTATGCCACCATCTACTCCGCAGAGATCGTCAACACCCTGACAAACCTGCTCTTTATGGCCCTTGGAATCAAGGGTTTCTTAAGTTGTCGTCGCAATGGACATGATTCTATCTTCCAGGTCGCTTACCTTGGCTATCTGCTGGTCGGAACTGGGAGCTTCCTCTTCCATTCAACGTTGAAATGTAAGTGAGGCATTATAGTGGAGGAGGGGTAGCCTGTGTCGTGCAAAATTGCTGATCCGTGCATTATACTCATAGATCCCATGCAACTGGTCGATGAACTGTCCATGATATACACCACGTGTCTGATGTGCTATGCGTCCTTCTCATACTCCAGACCGAATGGCTTCCGCGTCATCCTGGGCATCTTCCTTGCCAGTTTGGCGATCTTCATCACCCTTTACTACCACTACCTCCAGGACCCCCTGTTCCACCAGAACGCATATGGCATCTTGACAGCCATCGTCCTCATCCGCAGCATGTACACCATGGAGGTGACGCTGCGTCCTCGCTGGCGTCATTCGACGGAGGAGGACAGGCTTGCGCGTGAGAAGCAGGGCCTGCCTGTTCCGACCAAGGAACACCAACATTACGAAAATGTACGGGACATCAAGACTCTCAAGACCATGTGGTTCATGGTTATTTACGGTTTGAGCGTGTTCCTGGGCGGATTTGCCATCTGGGGCCTGGACAATGCCTTCTGTTCGAAGATCCGCGGATGGCGCCGGCAAGTGGGTCTTCCCTGGGGTATTCTACTGGAAGGCCATGGTTGGTGGTATGTTTCGCACTGACACCCTGCGTGCTGTCCCCTGCATACTAATCCATCTACTAGGCATCTGATGACTGGCCTTGGGGCCTATATGTACCTCGTTTGGGGCATCTGGCTTCGGCACTGCTTGAACAACCGCCAAGAGGAGTACCATCTCTGGTGGCCTCGCTTTTGGAACATCCCCGAGGTTCTCCGCACCAGCGCCCCAGGCAAGGGCGCGAACGGGGTGGCCAAGAAATCAAATTAACTGGACTCATTCCTACCCTTATTTCCTTGGTGTTTTAGACCTGACCTCTTGAGGAGCCTCGAGGACTGGAGCTTCGAGTGCTCTTCTGCGTCAGGATGATCGCTCACTTACAGTTTTGTTGATCGGGTTGCTTATAGACCTGCTCTGAGCTGCTCAGAAGTATACCATTATATCCTATAGATAAGAAATTGAGACCAAGAGATAAATATAGATCTCTCTATCGGGGTATTTCATTGGATACGCAAGTATCTCACTGGAAACGTATATGCGTAGTTACATCGAACATCTTGCAGAGCGGGCACTGTCTATACAACCGCGGGGGTAATGTGCAATCCTTATCCACAAACGAACAATCACCCATTCACAGCTTTGACTGGGCAGGGTTCTTCTTCGGCCGTTCAGGACGCGGAACATGCTCCTTCCACCTAGAATCGATCGTGATTTTCTCGACCTTTGACTTCCGACTCCACTGTTCCTGAAATTCTCGCTCCTCGGTTCTCCATCGTTCCAACTCAGCACCCAGCCATTTACCAGCCGCATCGGCACACTCTTTGGGGGCCTCCTGAGCAAGCAGATGGCCAAATTCGGCAAGATAAACATCGCGCACCGTACCAGCAGGAGCCCCACCACTGCCACCCAGCCCTGTTCCCGTAGCAGCCATCTTATCCGCCATCATCTCAGGCAAACACATATCCGATTTACCTCCAAAGATATAGCAGACACTGGGACGAAGATGCGGGAGCATAGCGAATACTCGCGACGGTTCTGGCCGGTAAAATGGCCATGAGCCCAGATGGTCGGGATTCAGATCCGGATGGGTCACTTTGTTCACGGGGACCTTCTTTCCTGGGGGCCCATCGTAGTTGGGACGTGAGAAGGTGAAGACTTCTTGGTGGAGGGTTGTTCTGAGCGTGACGGGTCGGTCACCGTTTCCCTCCTTTTGCTGGGATTCGTCTAGTGGGTGAATGGCCGTGGGGAGCTCGCGGAGACCGTGCTCGATCCAGCGGTCGAGGACGCGGGAATCCCAAGCTAGGTAGAATGGGTTTCGCTTGAAGGCCTCCGCGGCGGCTTTCCGGGATGGCCATGTGTCTCGTCGGTAGGTGGATAATTGGGTCGTTTTGGCGATCCGTTGTCTTTGTCGCATGGCCATCTCGAGCCCGTCGAGCTGGGTGGATTCACGTTGTATTACGGGGTCCAGGAGGACTAGACTGTGGATGAGACGTGGGTGCATAAGGCATAGCTGCGCGCTGTGGGAGGCGTTAGTTTATGGGTTCGTGGTAGGGTTGGGTTGGGAAAGCATACAGGTGTGCACCGCCCATGCTATGTCCTATACCAACGATGGGGCGAGGCATTTCCTTGCGCTTGACGTTGATAAGGTGAAGGAGGTCTCTGGGATGGTCGAACCAGCTGGCTATATGCACCTCGTCAGCATTATTTCGGGAAGTAATGAGAAAGAAGATCAAATTCATACGGTCGTTGCCCAGGAGGTGTTCATTTACTACGCTGCTCTCGCCCTGGTGCGCGACATCCGCCATCCATATGCTTCTAATGCGGAAGCCATTTGCTTTTGATCGAGCGTATAGCTCCTCCCACAGAGGTTCATAGAGTTCCTTGTATATAGATTAGCCACCGCCATTTTAATTCGGCATTGCGAAGTCATCAGACCTTGGGAAACCCATTCGCATGCGCAGCAAGAATCGTTACATCCCCTGGCTGTGGGTTGGGGTTATCGAGCGGAATATATTGCTTCACAACCAGATTTAATACATCTTCTTGGCCATTTGCCGTCGCCGCGGGATACTCTCTGATATGTTGGCATTCAACGATATGCTCAACGACCCGAAAGGGGCCAGAGGAATTTGAAGATAACGACATTTCTAATTTTGAATCAATCAAGTGAATTTCGTAGTATCGTACGACTCCACGGCGACTCTGGTATATATGGATTAAAGGCAAGGGGGAGCACTTATTCCCCGGATCGGAGGGTCGGAACTGCCGGGGCTGACGATGAGCCGAGGCTCAGGATCAAGAGCGACCGGGGAAAAATGGCCGATCGCTTGAGGGATTGTAATGTCAGGCGGGGAACGTGAATGTTCGGCTGATACCACTAGTTACGATACAGAGTAACGGTTACGGCTGGGGGAATCGGGTTATACGTACTGCACTTGTCTTGCCATTGATAATGTCAAAGTAGGCGTCCTTTAATATATCAACAGGCAAGATGGCCGAGTTGGTCCAAGGCGTCAGGTTAAGGTCCACCTTAATACCTAGCTTCACAGCTTCCTGATCATCGTAAGATGGCGTGGGTTCGAATCCCACTCTTGTCATATCTTTTTGTCATTTTTGCTTTGGCACAAGCCCTATATATATGCACTATATGATGTATGATGCAAGAAGATTATGTTTTCATGGGGATTTTCATCGGTTATCGCTATGTACACAAGATACTGTAGCTACTAGTAAAGATCAGCTGACAGATTGCGGGTGGGCTTGCGAGCCTCGCAAGGTAGTAGAGTAGAACTCGATATATATCTGGTGCCGTACTAGTAGTTAGTACTGCTCCCTAAGCAATCACCGACTATTATTGAACCTACTAAGTAAAGAAGTTGGGTTGAACTACCATATTTATCACTGCTTACTCCACCATTCTAGGACTGAAGGTCTGTACACAAAACACTGTGAACCTCAATCGGCACTCGTGATGCACCACACTGACAATCTACATAGATGTAACTACCCACATGAGAAGTTAATTCACTAGTTGCTTCCTTCCGACACATGCCCCCGCGGCTTCCCTACTTATTGTTTGTCCGCAAGACCATAACATCATCCACATATCATCAGAATCACAGCTTACAGGTTCAAAAGCTCATATTATATTCTATACATGACCAGGACGACGTGGATAAGACGCGCCTGACAGCACAAATCGACGATCTTCGACATATCTTATCTACACGTGACCTGGTGTCGTGTCGGCGCGTCTGCGCGTCGCATCGCAAAGCCACAAGAGGCAAAAGACGACTGCTCTCTCGAGCCGGACGTAACTTTCGCCCAATGCTACTACCTCCTCTCAAAGCGCACTACACACTGAACATACTCTCGTGCTGACCGGCAAATATCCACACAATGGCTGAGCAGGGAGGAGAGCTTCAACTCTTCAGCCAGTGCAAAGTCTGTATCATATGCTCCAAAGATCTCAGTGCTGATACAGCACATCAGGTATGGTAGCCACAGCCTTCGATATATTGGCAATTTACCCTGGCTAAATGAACGAACTATTGTCTATTAGCTCGCATCTACATTCGAAGAACATGGCGGTGAAACTGTGATCTATGAGCCGCCAGCCACCTTCCCTCCTCTCTCCGATTTCACCCACCTCATCTCCTGCACGATTGACTTTCCTGCATTCGACGCGGCCGGTGATGCCCTGATACCAGTTGTCAAACCCCACTGGGTGCATGCGTGCCTAGCAAAGAGAAAGCTAGCAAATCCGCGTCAATATAGTCCTGACCCGCGCCTATTCTTGAACGACGTGGTGATCACATGCGGTGATATACCAGGAGGCGATAAGGAAGCTATTATCGGTGGTGTTCTGGCGAAAGGTGGGATCTACAGCCCAAAGGTCTCTCAGCAGGTCACGCATTTGGTTGATTTGACCGCAGAGTCCGATAAGGCTCGATTGATCGCTGCAAAGAAGTTGAATATCAAGATAGTGCTTCCGCACTGGTAAGACGGATCGCCTCTGAGTAATTGGGCCGATCTAACAATGGTCTCCATACATAGGTTCGACGACTGCCTAAAACTTGGCCGAAGAATCGACGAGCGTCCATATACCCTTCCTGACCCCGAAATTCTCCGCGCAGCGCCAGATGCACCCATCCGTTCCTCAGAAAACCGTGACATCATCGGCGCATCCACGACGAACCCAGCCAACCTTCCCTCGTCTGTCAAATCGCCTGATGCTCAGCCGGCGCTTACCGTATTCCAAGATAAGAATGTCATGCTATCAACAGACCTCGGTATCGGCCCTCGTCTTCTCGGGTCCATCGAGGAAATCATCAAGAATGGCGGCGGCTCTATCACGACGGATGTCTCAAAGGCGGATATCCTGATCTGTCGCTATAGAGAGGGGTTCGCATACCGCATGGCATCGAGGCTGAACAAGGACGTCGGAAACCTATCGTGGCTCTACCACCTGATGACCTACAACACCTGGACATCCCCTCTACGGCGATTACTACACTACCCTGTCTCGCGGTCCGGAATTCCAGGCTTCAAGGGATTTAAGATCAGTTTGTCCAACTATGTTGGCGAAGCCAGAGCATACCTGGAGAATCTGATCACCGCGACAGGCGCCGAATGCACCAAGACGCTAAAGCAAGAGAATACCCACCTCGTGACTGCTCATGGTAACAGTGAGAAATGCGCCGCCGCAAAGGAGTGGGGATTGCAGGTCGTCAACCACTTATGGTTGGAGGAGAGTTACGCAAAGTGGAAGCTGCAACCCGTTTCTGATCCGCGCTACACTCATTTCCCTAAGAGGACGAATTTAGGCGAAGTAGTTGGGCAGACCAGACTTGACAGAACGGTCCTCGAAAGTATATTCTTCCAGAGTGAAAGCTTAGCCAGAGAGCAGGAGAGCCCTCGACGGGCGATGCAGACTAAGGAACAGAACACCGTCGCTGCAAAGTCATCGGATACCATGCAACCACCGTCGGCGAAAGTGACAGAATCCGAGAGCGAGGTACCGCAGCAGCCGCAGATTGCAACACCGCGAGCGGTTGGAAAGTCGCGCAAGACAGCTACAAGTGAAAATCAGAAGTTACAAACACCGGCGCGTGCCCGGCTTACGTCTGAAGGCAAGGAGAATGATACGCCATCTACGACAAGTAGTCGGAAATCAAAGGAGGCTGCTACCGCTCGATTGCACGAGATCGCACCGGACATTGCGTTATACGAGAAAGAGAAGAAGCGTGTTGGTGGTGTGATCTATGGTGGTCGACGGAAGACAGACGAGGATCGCGTCACGCTCAACAATGGCAAGAAGCGGCGGTCTATGGAAGCGGAGGACAAGAGCGATGAAGAGGACAGCACGGAAGCAAAGAGACAGAAGAAGGGCAAGCCGTCTGTCGCGATGCATCTTTTAATTACAGGGTATCAAAAATGGGTTGGGAACCCGAAGAAGGAAGACTCAGATAAGGTTTGTCCACCTCTTTGTACATGTCTGTAACTGAGAAAGCCCTCTGACTGTGAGCAGCGCCAGCTCCGTGAACTTGGCATCTTGGTTGTCCAAGACGCCCGGAGATGCTCCCATCTTGCTGCCCCCTCTATCCTGCGGACTCCCAAGTTCGTCAACGCGCTTGCATACGGCCCGGCTATTGTGAGCATTGATTTCATCACGCAATGCCTCGAACAAGACGAACTTCTGGAACCCGCTGATTTTCCACTAAAAGACGATGCATCGGAAAAGAAATATGGATTCTCCCTGGAGGAAGCAAAGATGAACGCCAAAAAGAACAAGAACAAGCTCCTGCAAGGGTATCAAATACACTGCGTCGAAACTATCCGTGGTGGTTTTGATGCGTTCAAGTCCATTGTGGATGCTAATGGAGGAGAATGCTCTCTCTTCCGTGGTCGCGTTTCATATCGATCACAGCGCGAGGAGAGTGACGAGAGCTCTGGAGACGACGACCGCAGCCGGAAGGAGATATACCTTCTGAGTAGCACTTCTGCAGACCACACCAAGCTGTGGCCGCGATTCCGCCAGATGGTCCTAAACAGAGGCAAAACACCACGGATAGTCCGGGTGGATTGGCTTCTTGACATTGCCATGTCCCAAACGCTGCGCGCGGCAGATGCATATGAGCTGGACGAGAAGATGGCAGATAAGATGGAGCAGTAGCTGGCTGTTGGGCGCGGTGTTAGGAGTGCTGTGTTGAAACATATTTGCTTGTTATGAACAGCGGGAGACCCGTATAGCTCTTTCGGGGACATTATCTGGTTTTTGTATATCCCTTACTTTATCATGAAGATAGTTGCCGTATTCTCAGCGTCGCCAAAGGACATTGATTCCGAATGGAGCCACGAGCGAACCGCATGCTGTATTTAGGCCAGACGACGTACCCAGTCCTTAGAAAAACTTGACACCCTCCTGGCCTTCGCTACCGAAGACCTGCGCCTTGCCCCGTTTCACGAGAACGTTGAGGGACTTGTGCATCACATCGGGATCCATCGCATGCCATTCTGTTCCAGCCAGCCGTTAGCCATCATGCTATACCAGTATTACTCAAGACCCAAGAAGCAAAAGCAAGTCAACCTACCCTGCGACATCGTAGCCTCCCCTTCCAACAACTCATAAACCGTAAGCACCACATTCTTCTGGCCTGTGCTTTCCACCTATACAACAAAAACCAAGCAATTAGCAATCAAAATCCCTCCTTTAAACCCCAACTCCCCACAACATCTCAAACGAAGATAATATGGAATAGAAGAACACATACCCAATCCGCAATCAACCCAGCCCACTCCTCCGGCCTCTTCCACCAAATCCACGCCACACTCTTACTCCCACCATCGATCCACTCCGCTCTCCTACCTCCACCCCCTTCCTCTTCACTCTTCGCCATCCAGTCTAGAATATCCCGCGCATCGCTCATGGATATGCGCTTCCGGAGCGTCGCATTATGAAATAACGGGGACTCGATGGCTTCGATTAACGATAGTCGGTAGACGCGATGGTGCCGACACCAGGATTGAATCAGGGAAGACCATTTCTGGAGTTGGGAGGTGCGTGTCGTGCTGTTGGGTTGGGGGGTGAAGAAGGCTGGGAAGGAGTAGGTGAGGGGGAATTGGAAGGGTGGGGTGGTGGTTGTTGATGTTGTTGCGCTTGTCATTCTGGTGGTGGGTGAGTGATTGTATTGAAGGTGAGTAAGGTATATAACTGAGGAGTGTATTCCGCTGTTGTCAAATTGTACTCGGAATATAGTATGGGTTGTTTAACCGTGACGTTGACGGTGATAGTTGTAGTGATGGTGGTGGTGGTGATCGATAAGGACGTCAGTAGATTATTATCTACCGCCAGCCAACAACCCACCCACCTTAATGGAACTAACTAACTTGACTTCTCCGCCTTAGAAATTTCCGCAACCTCCGCAGCACCGCACCGCATCCCCCACCTTCTCAATAGGTTTCTCCAACAAGTTTCTCCCAACTTTCCTTATCACCCTCAATTAAACTTCAGATACACAATGTCTCAACCTCCCGCCAAGCGCCAAAAGCGCGCCGAGTATCGCAAACAAGCCGCCGAAGCGGTCGTCGCGCAACCGGATGAGTCCGCCCCCGTGGGCCATGTCAAGCTCCCTAAGAAGAAGTTCTATCGTCAGCGGGCGCATGCGAATCCGTTCTCGGATCATCAGTTGAACTAGTATGTTGTTACTTCTTGCTCATTGTGGCATGTGAATAGGGCCAATGGCGTAGTGGAATGGAATGGAATGAAAGTCTCGGGCTAAACTTTTCTTCTCTGTATAGTCCCCTCAGCCCGGCGCATATGGACTGGGCATCGCATTTCCCTGCCTTCGTGAACCCCGACGCCACGCAGACGAACCTGATCGGAACGAGAAAGTTGCTTAAGGATGTCGAGGTCGTGGACATCGGATGTGGATTTGGAGGCTTGCTTGTCGGTCTGGCGGGGTTGTTGCCGGAGACGTTGATGGTCGGTATGTATATCTATCTACATCTTTCTTTCTCACACAAGTCATGGATTGTGAAACGATCTGAGCGGAACTGAACTGAACCTTTCAATCTAGGAATGGAAATCCGCATCGCCGTCCTCGAATACCTAAACACCCGTATCCAAGCTCTCCGCGTGCAACAACAGCACCAGCAACAAAAGACACAACAACAGCAACAACAACAATCACAGTCTCAACCTACCTCTTCGACTTCCACCCCTGCCCCTACCGCCGACGCTGCCGACGCCGCCGTCGCTGATACTCCCACCGATGCCCCGGCGCATCCCGACCCGAACGCCAGCGCGGCCCTCGTCCCCGGAGGATACCAGAACATCTCGGCGATCCGGAGCAACACGATGAAGTTCTTCCCGAACTTCTTCAACAAGCACCAGCTGTCCAAGATCTTCATCTGTTTCCCGGACCCGCATTTCAAGGCGAGGAAGCACAAGGCGCGCATTATCTCGGAGACTTTGAATGCGGAGTATGCGTATGCGCTGCGCCCTGGTGGTCTGTTGTACACTATTACGGATGTGGAGGAGTATCATCATTGGATTTTGAGACATTTCCGGGATGAGAGTGCGGTTGAAGAGGCGGAGAATGAGGGCCCCACTGTTAAAGAGTTGTTTGAGAGGGTGTCGGAGGAGGAGTTGGAGAAGGATGAGTGTGTGAAGGTTATGAAGGAGGCGACGGAGGAGGGGAAGAAGGTTACGAGGAATAAGGGTAATAAGTATGTTGCTGTGTTTAGGAGGAAGGAGGATCCCGAGTGGGCTTGATTTTTGTGTTTCTGTTTTGGCTTGTATAGATCTATGGCGTGGATGATTTGTTGCGAGATTAACAAAAGTTAATACTGATATACATGGTTTGGATGATATTTTGTTTTGACATGTGCTCATATAGTCTTATGGGTGTGTAGCTTTCGATATATATTGCAATGTCTGGGATGGCACGTTGTAGAGTGACTGATCTTGGCTCAGAGGAGACTTCAAGTGCAGCAGAGTGGTATTGGACGTCGATTGCTCTGAATTTGTGAGAATTTACGGGCAAAGGGATCGTGTTTATGGAATATAAGAAACACATAACTCTCGAATGCTAGCTTCGTAAAGTACTTTCACAGGCTAATAATCATAACATCATCTCCATCATGTCGGTAGTACTTCATTTCTCTACTATGCTTGCAATGAAGGAGCCCATGACCAGCATGAAGCATCACGTATGGCTGATTGCAGTCGCGCGCCGACGAAACCAGACGTGTATCACAAGAAAGACTACCACTCCGAGAGCAAGCATTGCGGATATCACCGAGAACCCCATGATATACTTCGGACCGTCGGAGGCAGGGAACAAGTACTGCTGCCAGTTAGTCATCTGAATGCCAACAACAAATCTCAAGAATGTTCATACCGAGCCATATATTTGGGCTAGATTCCCTAATGCATTTACTAGCGCAAGGCTGACGCCTCTTACTTGCGGGTGCATGTTCGCAAATGCAGATGACGCATACGCAAGGGTGCCTCCGTTGGTTGCCCACAATCCGGCAGCCATAAGTACGAGAAGGACATATCGTGCAGTATAGTTGTATACAACACAGACTGCAATGGAACAAGCTAGCGATGCACTTAGCCAGCCAGCAATGACAAGACCTCGCCATTGGGGGATTTTGTCGCTGAAGTATGCGGTGATTGCGGTGCAGACGAATGCGACTGCGTAGATCGGTACTGTCAGGAAGTTTACCCTTTCAGTGGATGAATCCCCGAAGAGGCCCTTCACGAGTGTAGGGTAGAAGTAGGAAAGTGTGCTAGAGCCGACTATGACCTTTTTGAAGTTAGGGTTGTGGCATCATGCGAATGACCGACGGGTTACCATACCATATATCCGACCACAAATCCCCAGGTCCGCCAATCCTTAGCCGACTCGACAACAGCATTCCAATGTGACAACTCCGGGCTGTCTTCGGTCAAAGATGTGACATTGTCTGTCGCTAGCCGTGCGATAGCCACATGTCGCTCTCGTTCTGATAAGCGCCTAGAGGTGGCCGGAAAGTCGGGCAAAATGAAGGCACATATGATCGCGACTCCCACAGTTGCAGATCCCTCCACGATGAACAGCCATCTCCACCCTCTTATTCCATGAACTCCCTCTAGACCCTGGATAATACCTGCCGCTAGTAAAGATCCAAATGCCCCTGAAAGAATTGCAGCAGATATGTAGACACCGAATCGCTTCGATTGTTCCGTCCGCTTGTACCAGGACGAGAGGACAAGAAGAACACCAGGTGCGAAACCTGCTTCCACACAGCCTACTGCAGTTAGGAACATAATATCACCACAGACGAGTCAATAAGATGCCTCACCAATTAGTGCGCGCAATACCACAAGGTGTTTGTAGTCTTTTATTACGCCCATCACACAGGTTAGTGCTCCCCATATTACCATGATACCAGTTAGGAACAACGAAGGGCGCGTGTGGCTTAGTACTAAGCTATATAATTGAGTAACGGTTAGCACTGGCTTGTGAGAATCCCGGGTTATTGAAGTGGAACGTACTTGCTGGGAACTTCAAAAACAACATATCCGATGAAGAAGACAACCAGAGCAATTGAATATTGACCGGATGTCAGATCCAAATCCTCCTGCATACCCGAGATCTTTGCGTTGCCGATACTGATATAGTAAGACTAATTAGGCATTTATAGCAATGTGTAGGAGTATTGGGGGTACAGACTTGGTCCGATCCATATAGGAGAGCAGATACATGATCCATATTGTTGGAAGCAAAGTCAAGTCAACCTTCCGCACGAGGGCCTTTTCCTCCTCGGGAGAGAAAGGCGAGGTGATCACATTCTCTATTTCCTCTGAGAGAGAGGCGTCACACTTGAGCTTGTAATCCGAATCTTCTGCCATTAGGACTGGTCTGAACAATGAGTAAAGCGACTAATAGAGGTAAAGTGTCATTGGAGATGAAGGAAGAGTTGGGAATAGTTATTCCGACAGGCCTGCCTACATGTCAACCACCAGACCATCGACTCCTTGCAGGTTATTTATGCTGCCCGCTCAGGGCACAACGCCTATGCCGGCATTGCGAATAAGGAAACGATATGGTGCTGTAGCTGCCATCGTTCGACATGGATCAGACGTCATCCGAAGGATATCGCAGCAGTTAGATCTCCCGATCCCCGCGCAAGAGCCGTATCAATCTATAGATGGTCGTACATGCGGATTTGATGCGATGACGGCAATGGAGACGCGATCCCCGCAAAAGCTCGGGAACCCCCGCAAAGCTGGGGTTGACATCCAAGCGTCTCCGTCTTGCCGAACTAGATCCAGGTGCCTCGACTCGAGGCACTCGTATGACACGCAAATCTTGCCAAAGTCAAGCTGCCTAGTTGCTCATCTAGGAAATGAGGTAGGTTAGTTTGAAGCAATCACACCCTCGCAAACAAGTTGCCGCGAGACGGAGAGAAGCCTCGAGCCGAGATGACAAGACAGTCTGCCTTCCTTTTCCGGAATAGCCCTGGTCCGGCTCTGAAATTATGCAGGCAGCCTGGATTAGTACTTGGAGCCTTCAGGTTAGGGGTTATTTGTGGCTGCAGCTAGCAAGATGCAAAAAATGTGTCCTTTAAACCATTCACTGTCATAAATTCACCTAAAGTGTACGCTATCGTAGACTCCCGCTGGATGCTATGCAATTCACAGGTTGCAACAAATAGGAAAAAAACAAACTGAGAGACATATATGAAAAACAATGGCCGTATAAGCTTGGATGATGCAACTTGTTAAGCGCACTGCGCTCAAATCTATGCAGATGGCCACAATGATCATGTCAGTGGCGTAAGTCATCGGTTGTTGGAGCCTCAGACCCCGGAGATCCACCATCCGACAGATACCCACATCACGGCGATGCCTTCAATCGAATACCTTCACAACTTTCACAGACAGCCAATTGGACCGGCCCGCCGATAATGCGTCCCTTGGCTGTCCTTTTCGGTTCCCCTTCTCGGACGAAGTAACGACCGTCGGGACCGAATCCATCCCCGCACTCGTGGCAGACAAAGCATTCATCATGCCACTGCCCGCCAACTGCACTTATCACAACATCCTCCAGCACTGGCTTCTTGCATCCAAGGCACCGAGGAGCTGTGCGACGGGAGTGGCACTGCAAGCACCATGCAAAGCCATCCTTTTCTACGAAAGGCGTGTCTGCGTTGAAAGGCTAGAAGAGATATGTTAGCAGTTAATGATTACAAATCAGAAGGGAAGACTGTACATCACCACACTCGGCACAGAAGAAGTGCCCGACGTGCC